ACAGGGGGAAATAAAAAAAAAAAATTTTGGGGGGGGAAAGGGTTTCAGGGGGGGGGGGAAAAAGGGGGGGGGGGGTTTTGCCCTCTCAGGGGTTTAAGGCAGAAAGCCCCCCCACCACCGTTGTCCCTTTGGCTCCATGATTTGGTAATCCCCAGGGCCTCCAAAGGGGGGGAAAAACCCCCTAATAGGCCCCCCTTGGCCTGCCCCCCCCGGGGTTTTTATGCGGGGTTGAGGATTTTTTTGGGGGGGTCGGGGGGGGAAGGGGAAAAACCCGGGGAGGGGGAAAGGGTTAAAAGGGGAAACTTCGGGGTTTTGAACCAGGGGGGGTGGGGGGGGAAAAAAAATGGGCGAAAAGGGGGGTTAAAACCCCCCCCTTCCCCGGGGCCCCCCACCCCCCCCAGAAAAAAAAAACCCCCCCTACAAAGATTCCCCCCCTTTAGGCCCCCAAAAGAACCTAAAAAATGGCTAATAAACCCCCGGGCCCTTTCAAAAAAAAAACCCCCCCCCTGGGGGAACCCAACGGGGGAGGGACCCCCCCAGGAGGGGTTTAGTCCCATAGAGGGATAATAAGGGCCCAAGAAACGTTTTTAGTAATAAACCAATTTTGGGTTGGAAAAAGGAAAACCCAAGGGGGAAATCCATGTAAAAATTTGGGGGTAAAGACAAAAAACTCCGGGCCCTTTTTGGGGGGGAAAGAACACCCGGGAAGGAGGGGGGGGAATTTTTGGGAAGCCCCGGGGTTTTTTTGCAATCTTTTAACCCCAAGGAAGGCTACCCGGGGGGGAAAAAAGGGGGCCTCGGCACCGGAGCGGGGAAGGCCCCACCGTTCACTGCGACCTTAGGGGGGGGGGTGGTGAGAGGCCAGGGTTCGGGGAGATGTCCCCAGCGGATAGGAGAAGGAGAAGGGTGAGGAAGGTGGCATGGGAATGGGATGGAGTGCAGGAGCGTGTTGGTCTGATAGTGGTGGTACGTGGGTCGACGGGGGAGTGGAGTAGCAGGAGGAGGTGGTGAGTGCCGTAGTGGGAGAGGGGAGAAGTGAAGGGGCAATGTAGAGCTGTTTTTGGGGGGGTAGGTGGATAGAGGGAGGCGATTTTTGGGATGGAGGAGAGGAAAACAAGGAGGAGGAGTGCAGGTGGCATGTTGGGGTGAGTGGAGTTCAGTGCTGGTCGGGTCGGGGAGGTGAAGGGATACAGGTCAGGGCAAGGTGATGTGGAGAGTCTGTATCACCGTGGAGGAGTCCATTTGAGTCCTTCTATAGGGGGAGAGTGAGAGTGGAGGGCCGCAGCTGGCTGGCTGCAGTCTGTGGGTGCAGTATGCTGGCGTCCGTGGGTGCTGCAGCACGTCTTCAGTGGGTCCGGTGGTTCGGCGAGCGGAGGGGTCGTAGGGTGCGATGTCTGCGGGTGTTGGTAGGCACGGCGTCTGGTGATGCTGGCGGCTCGGTGACTGGAAATGTTGAGGCGAGGCGTCAGGTGCTGAGGGCTCGGCGTCGGGAGGCGCTGAAGGCGCTGAAGGGCGCGTCAGGAGGTGGAGGTGCAGTAGGGCTCGGCGTCCGTGGGCGAAGTGAGTCAGTACATGCGGATGTTGCGGGTCAGCACGCGACTGAGGGTGCTAGGGGTCCAGCATCTATGGGAGCGGTAGGGCCTGGTGTCAGTGGGTGCTGAAGGCCGCGTGGCAGGCTTGACTCCACCAGATTGTATAGGGCTCAGGGCTGTGTGGTGGCAGGTGTCCGGCCGCGTGGTACCCGGAGGGGAGCAGGGAGGCAACTGGTAGTGGAGGCTTACCCTCTCGGTGCGGGTGGCGGAGGTGCGGCTACGTCTCGATTCGCTGGGTGGCCTGGAGAGGTCCCTGGTCTGTGGCTGGGTGCCGGCTGATGCAGGGTGCTGGGTGGTCTGAAGCAGCCCCTAGGCTGGGGCAGGGTGCTGGGTGCAGGTAGCTGGGTGCCGGTAGCTGGGTGTCCTGAGGTGGTGGCTGGGTGCCGGTAGCTGGGTGACCCTCTCGGTGCAGGTGGCGGAGATGCGGCGACGTCTCAATTTGCTTGGTGGCCTGGAGAGGTCCGAGGCTGGGTGCTGGCTGCTGCAGGGTGCTGGGTGGTCTGAAGCAGCCCCTAGGTGCCGGGTGCAGGTAGCTGGGTGCCCGGTAGCTGGGTGCATATGCAGAGAAGGGCAGTGACATCAGCCATGGAAGGAACTGTCCCCTACAGGTCCACACATTGATGGGACCTTTACAAGCTTTGTAGCTACTGTATATCCGTAACTCTGCCATGTTAAATATATAAGCAGCAAGGGGAGAACTTAGGCAAACTTACCTCTGGTGTCAAAAAAACTGCGTATGCGTTTCTCCAAAAATGGCTTTTTCAATATAGAGTTGATGGATGGTCGGTCACGTGGAGAGATTTTAAAAAGATGAGAAATAAGTGTTCTCAGATCATATGAATATCTTGGGGAAATGGAATCATACCGACCACGGCAAATTTTCAGTACCAGCTGCCGCAAATTGCTTGCTTCAAACTAACAGAATTAGAGGAAAAAAAATAACGTACGTCAAGGTTAACTTCTCGCATGATTTAAGGGAAGTTCAACATCTAAATTAAACACACTTTTATATATTAGATCTTTGTATAAAAGAAGTACTAAGCAGATTATTCAGCTTGTGTTTAGGACATTATCCTGTACATATAGGATAAAGCAGGCACAACATTCACATAAGGAATTCAATGTTACTCAGAAACAGTCACACAAATGCACTTATTGTTCTATGTACATACCTCTTGCATAGAGTAAGGTTGAAAAAAGACACAAGTTCATCTAGTTCAACCAATAGACAAAAAAAATTCAAACCCTCCATATACAAAATTCTATACCCACAGCTGACCCAGAGGAAGGCAAAAAAAAAAAAAAGTCAAACAATGAGATAATGTCAAAAGCTCCTGCGCATGGGTCTGGGAAACAGGAGATTTTTGGATGAACCCAGATGATGTAAAAATTCCAAGGGGTAGGCCAAGCCTTGCTGTTCTCATATACTACTGGGGAAATCCAAAGGCAACTCCAAAGAAAAAAAAACAAAAGCGCACTGACCTAGAGCATTATCCCAGATACAAATTTATTAAAAATAAATTTGTGTTTTGAGGGAAACCTGCCCGGGCTCTGAAGAAGAGGGGTTTCCCTCGAAACGTGTCAGCCTTCAGTTGGCCCTCAGATGGCACTTCTTTGATGTCGGGGCTTTTGGTTCTCTGTAGAACACATACTTAGTGACTGTCAGTTGATATGCGATTAGTTTTCACTTGTTTGTGAGTATATCTAATTTATTTTTAATAAATTCGTGTCTGGGATAATGCGCTAGGCTGGTGCGCTTTTCTTTTCTTTTTAGAAGGCAAAAAAAAAAACCAATGAAGCATGGTACAACTGCGAAAAAATAAATCCCTTCCAGGTCCCGCAGAAAGATATTGGATATTCCCCGGATCAACAATTTCAAGCAAAAAAAAACCTTAGTTGTTCACCTTCAGTTGGCACTGTAGCAAGAAAGACACAAGCCTCTTTCCAGCAATCAATTTTAACCACTTCAATAATGGGCACTTTCACCGCCTTCCTACCCAGGCTAATTTTCAGCTTTCAGCGCTTTCACACTTGAAATGACAATTGCACAATCATGCAACGCTGTGCCCATATGAAATGTTTATAATTTTTTTCACACAAATAGAGGATTTGTATTTGTTGCTAAACAAACAAAAAGGGACGAAAGTTTTGAAACATTTTTTTTTTCATTTCTGTTATAAAATTTAGCAAATTTTTCTTCTTAACTGATGTGTGCTGATGAGGCTTCACTGATGGGCACTGATGAAGCAGCACTGATGGGCACTGATGAAGCAGCACTGATGGGCACTGATAAGCTGCACTGATGAGGCTGAACTGATAGGTGGCACTGATAAGCTGCATTGATAGGCACTAATAACCTGCACTGTTGGGTTCTGATAATCTGCACTGTTGGGCACTGATGGGGCTGCACTGATTGTGTGAAGATTCTGAACTCCTTTAGTAAATCAGCCCAGCTGTCTAACAACAGTACAAGGCACTATAGCACTCCTTTAACCACTTGCCTACTGTGCTATAGCTGAAGACAGCTACATTGCGGCTTTCCAGTTCAGGACAGCCTCCCATGTGCGTGCCTCCCATGCGCCCCCTGGGGCACGCATTGGGCATGCTCTGTGACTGCTGTATCCTTTGAGCGCAGCTGATCACAGATCGCAGTAAAAGGCCAATCACAGTGGCCCTTTACATTGTGATCAGGTGTGTCCAGTCACAGCTGGTCACAGGTAAACAGACTTGCCGGTTATCTTTGTTTATGCTAATAATCAGTGCCCATTCACTTAAATTATCCAAACATACACTGATGAAATAAGTAAACAGGAATTTACTTTCCAAATAATTTTACAATTGGAGTGAACATCAGTGCGCACAAACGCAGGTACAGGGAGAACATGCAAACTCCAGGCAAGTAGTGTCATGGTTGGGATTCAAACTGATGCCCCTAATGCTGCTAACCACTTAGCCACTGTGCTGCCCCTGTACTGTTCAGTTTAAACTATAAACAGTATGAAAACAAACTTGTATTTTTGACAAGAGCAGCACAATAGCTAGATGTTTAGCACTTGCAGAAGTGGGATCCTTGAGTCAAATCTTGGCCAGGATACACCCGAATGGAGTTTAAATGTCCCTATGCTTTTGTGGGTTTCCTCCACACCCCAAAGATATGCTGGTAGGTTGATTGCCTCCTGTCCAAATTAGCTGTTCTATGTGTGTAAAAATTGGCTAAGCACATTCTGCATGCCAGTCCCAAGCCCAAGCAATTGGGTGGGTTGAGGAAAGATCTGGCAACGGAAAAAAAGGCCATCAAGTGTATCAAATGTGGTGCCCAGGGAGCTGGCCTGCAGAAATGACAAGAGTCAGGTATTACGAAAATAATCGGTTTATAACAAGTCTTCTTTTACCAATTATATTACTTACAGGATGTTTAAGGGAACACAGTTCATATAACACACAGCCAAGAGACCAGATATCCCTTAAACAAAAAAGACAACAGGGGAAACAAATGAATATTAGAAATAAAATGATAACTTCCTCAGCTGAAACACTCATTGTAGCTATAGGTGTTTTTTTTGTTTTGATTTGTTTTTTTTACACATTACAAGTCACTTACGTCTTATTATTATAAGGCCTGTTTTCACAGATTTCTGGAGAAAGGTAATAAGGAGTCCCAACACATGTACGTGCCAATTCCATTGTGCTTGATTGGGAAAAACAAATTAAGATATTCTTAATAAGTATAATAATTTGTACAATTACAGGAAAATATTGTACAGTTGTAAAGAATACTTAGGTCGGTCATGTGATCATTTTTTGCATGATTTCTATAGACAGCAATAGCAAGTGTAGAGATAATTATCATAAAATAATCGACATACAGTTCAGACTGTTGTGGGTAAGCCATTAAAATACATAGGCTGCAATATTACTATTTACAATGACATAATATTATTAATAATTGCTATTTTATATCACATCATATTTGCATGTTCATTTTCCAAAGCATTTATACATTGGAATATATTTATCAAATCTTATCATGAAAAAGAATAGGATCTCTCTTTTCCCACATTTCCTGATATTTGTTCCTCTGGCTGAGGTTTAATAATATTCCCAGTAAAATTATTCTAAAATTTTAGTTCAGAGATGTTAGACAGGTCAGCAAAGTGTCCAGCTAACAGAACAAGCTGATAGTAATACGAAATAATTGCCTAGATACAAAGATTCCTCAAAAAAAGCCTCTCTTTCTGCTCTGAGTTTATAAGAATAGAAAATCCAGCCAACTCAAAGCGTTAAAACCCAATGTCTGAGGTCTTTTAGAGCAAAGGGTCTTAAAGAAAGCCAGAAACAAAAAATGTAACATATTGCAGCTCACCAGTCTTAGATTTTGGTGGCTGCATTGGGATTATTTTTCAGGCCTTCCCCCCCTTTTTTTCCTGGCGTACCACACTTCTGGTTCTAGAGTGGCAATGCTCAACAACTCCAGTGTATCTATGGAGGAGCAACATTGTCACCTTAGGTTGCTTACCACATTTGGCCTACAAACAACACCTCATCTTTTCATTATATGTGGGGCAGGGAGATTTGTAGTTTACAGGAGAAAGCTTTGAAGGCACACAGCATTGTTCAATTCACAGAAAGTTACCAGGAAACTGTATTTATGGCAAGATCAACAGGTATTTTCTGTACTTGCAGAAGTTACGTAGCCTGAATAAAGGAACAAATGTAGCCACAACACCTAAGGAGGATTAGCATGCTACAATATATAGCATATTTATTCTTAGTGAGAGAGTTTGCAACGATACTCCAAGCCAAGAAGCCAAAGAAAATCACCCTGCCGGTTTTGGAAGAGGGAGCAGCATTCGTGATTAGTTTCAATGACCAAGTGTGGTAGGGAAGTGGATGCTGCTCTGACCAGTCCCTGCAGTCCGGTGTGTATAGGATAGCCTTAGCTGCTGCTCCAGCTATGCCCTCTGATGCCTTTCCCCCTGCCCTCCGGGGCTTGATCACCTAGGCATGTAGGACAAAGGAAGTCAGAGTTTTATATTTACATCATCACTCATGTTCAAGGAAAGTGTGTTAGTGTTAAGAGTTGTGTAAAAGTGTATGGAAACTGAAGGGGAAATAAACAAAGATGATTACTGTAAGACAGAGAAAAGAGAGAAGAAAAAAGAAAAAGAATGATTGTTCTTGGGTTTAGGTATTCATTAATTGGAGTCTTTCATATTCTTTGAGGGTATGGAAACAAATGAAGGGGCATTAAGAGTGGGCCTCTGAATAATTACAAAAAATGAAAGCAGATGCTCTGCATTTTGAACCTGAAATCAAAGTGGAAAAAAATCAACTTGATATGTCAGATGAAATTGGGGTAACACTGTCAGTAACTGTGCTGAAATGCAAGTTTTAATTGCAAAAAAAACACCAAAAATCTTACTAGCTATAGATACAGTCATTTGTGTATTTGTGACATGCTGTTTTTTTATAAATAATACAAAAAAATCTATCTGTAAAATAAAACCAAGATATTGACATCTTTTTAGGCATATTGGTATCTAAAAGGACTGGTGATGATGATTTTAATAGTCTGGGAAGGGGGTATGGGCAATCCACTGGAGCTCTGTAACTACAAGTACGTTAAGGACCCGTCTTAAAGTAAAATATAAAAAGCTGCAGACCAAACACTAAAAAAAGTACATAGTGTTGTACACAGAGTGAAGGGATTCCTACAGAAATATCAATATTGATCCACATATTCTTCTCAATATACAGTATACAGGAGGAAATTATACAGTGATTACTGTTCATCACCAAACATGATGATATACAAATATAACTCACCTGTTTAACATTCTTGCTATACCAAAATCTCCCAGTTTGGCCATTGTCCCATTACTGGTGAGAAATATGTTCTGTAAAAGAGAAATATCTCTCAACAACCCAATGATAGCACTCTTATGATTTTCATCTGCTTTCAAAAGAATAACCACATAAACTTTACCTGCGCTTTAATATCTCTGTGAAGCACTTTGCGGTCATGAATATGCTTTAGACCCAAAGAAATCTGCACAAACCAACTGAGAATCTGTCATAAGAACAAATATATATTTTGAAATCATTATTCAGAAAAAGAGCTTTGAATATATGACATTTCAGTAAGTACCGGTATGTACAACATAGAAAAATACAGAAGCTAGCACAGACAAGGACACTAAGGGAACTTAGATACCCCATACATAATGACCATCAAGAACGAAGGGGTCAATAAAATGCACAAGATAGTATTTAATGATTGCTGTATGGCTAGTATAGCAGTTCGTGGTGACAATCCGTGGTAGTGGGAAGCTTAACTGCCTCAATGGCTGCTCCTCCAAGAGACAAGGGTGATCTCTGCAATGGAAACACGAAGGTTTGAGAAAGGAGTGATTGCTCCGAAATGCATCACCACACCTGCAGTCTCTGTTCCCTCCTCCAGTTTGACGTCACTTCTGCCTCTGGACCAGGCATGCATTCCATGGTGGTTCTGATGCCTTTCGGTTTCAGCTTGGATTGCTAAGCGGATCCTTCCAGCACTGACGAACTCCTTCTTCGTTGGAGCCCGCCAGCACCGGAATTTAGGCTTTACAGCGATTCCCTTGATGGACACTGATTCTTTTGACATATGTGAGTTGCCCATTTGACTTTTCCCAATTAACGCTTTTTATGTTGCACTTAGAAGGCTTCCCTTTTTGCTTGTGTTTCCAGTAAGAACAACATAACCTCTCTCATTGAAACAAACTGAATAAACATATCCTTTTGCTTCTTTATTAGGCAACTGCACATAGTTACACCATGGCCTACTTGGTATGCTCAAAAGATGCAGTTTATACTATGGCCAGCTCATAAAAGGTGCAATTCAAGGAAAATGCATTAACATCTCTGATTGTTGATGTGTGATGTGTGTTTCCAGAGTCAAGCCTTTGACAAAACGATTCAGATCTGAATCAATGCTTTCAGTAAAGGAACTACAAATTGTCCCAAATATGTCTCGACCTAGCTAGCCATATAAGACCTAATATCCAAGTAGTTTGTTATGAATGCATGATTATGTGATAATACATATTACTAACATGTTCAGCAACTCATTTAATATTATGGAGCCTCCACCATGGATAGTCAGTTTTTTCTAATTTTAATACCTAAAATATTTGTAGGCTCTGTTGCTGCCCTCCTTGGAGTTTAGGTCCTCCCACCACCTTGTTCTATTATATAATATTGCCTATCAAGTAATAAACTAAAAGCTTCCCTACCTGGTCTTCATCAAAGTGAACACCTCTCTGCTTGTTTATTCTCTTCGCCAGATCCCCGCCATCACAGTATTCCATGACAATGTACAGACTATTCTTCTCTAGAATGAGACATGGTGGGATAACAATATGTACATATAGAAATACACTATAAATATCAAATATACTACAATACCTCTATGAATATGTTGTAAGAACTGGATTCTATCTGATGGTCTCAAACATTATCGCTTCACATGGACTGTTGACTCAGAGACTGACCCCCTGATAGCCGACTATATGCACATTTGTGGGCGGATGCAGCTGAATGGGAGGAAGAGCTGGAGGGGATCTCGGTAAGTAGAGGTGATGGCTGCAGCTCTCTCACTACCGCTCTCCTTTACATGTCTGGAGCAAATGAAGGTAGGTGGCCAGTAAAGTGGGTGCTTGTGGTTCCCTTGCTATCTGTAGTATAGTCTGAGGGGCTCCCCTGCTGTAACCACACCATGAAGTGCTGCCTGTCCCTTGGGTGACATGATGACAGATTTATATTTTCACCATTGCGAGATAAAGGTAATGTATTATTGTATCGTTGGTGCTGTATGAAGTGCTAGGGAGTCTGGCTACTCCATCCCCACCACTACCAGGAGTTGGCTGCTCTGAACCATCATGAGTGAGCCCTTGCTGGTCTTAGACAACCAGACCCCAGGTCCCATGTCGGCCTTTGTGTAAACGCTCCATCAACTGTGCCATAGGATTATTCTAGCAAAATGTAATGCTTTAATGTGCTAATGGAGGCAGCAGGAGGTAGTTTTTAACTGTACAGATCAAGACAGAGATGAGATATAAAGAACCTCCATACTCCCGTCGCCTCCCTGCATATCTCATGTTGAATTTAGCCTGAAATGAGGTAGACAGGACAAGGTAACAAAATAGGGTAAACATTATCTCAATTATTGATGCTTGGCGCTGCCCCTCTAGCCGTGGTAAAATACAGCCCTGCTCCTACCTCAAAATTCTTTCCCATAACCTGTATTTGTACATATGTAGATGCAATGAATGGACGTGATTAGTATAGTAAAAGCTGAGACAGGGTCTTTCACGAACAGATAGGCTATATCCTTCTATTAAAAAGCAACGACAAACCTTTAAATGATGTGAAGAAAGTTACAACATTTGGATGGTTCATTTTAGACAAAAGGGTAACCTCTTTCTGAGATGCCTCTTTCTCCTTTGGAGGCATCTATAAGAAAAAAAAGTAGAGATATTATAGATAGCAACATAATATTGTGTATTTGTGATAGTTTATTTTGCAACACTTTGTCAGGTTAGCCCTTGACCTAGTGGACTGTACAAAACATGGCCTTTCTCATAATCTAAATATTTCTCCCTGACTTGCCCTTAATTTCCATTTAAAGTGGTTGTACACCCTTACCTATACCCAGTGAAGTGACTGGCCTCAGGTAATACACAGAAATGAAACAAATCCTTCAATATAAGTTGTACAAGTCTATCTGAAGCCATCTCTTCTCTACATCCGTTCAAAGTGCAGAATTTATACAGCTTGTCTGAGCTTCCAGAAATCAGGAGGCAGGGAGCTGAAGTTACACTCTGCAGAGCTCAGTGAGGAAAGCTCTGAGAGCTGATTGGAGGAAAGGGACACACACCCCCTTCACACAGCACACAGGGCTGTCAATCTGCTGCAGGTCCCTACCCTGTCACCATTTGTCTATTGGTGTCAGAAAAACTTGTCAGAAGTGATTCATGCAAATAGCAGAGTAAGAAAGCAACAGACAGAAATTAGACTTAGTGCTCTAGTACACACTATAGAGCAGTATGTTTTGTTCATATTTTATGTCTGAGGTTTACAACCACTTTAAGAATGGAACATTTATTCTGAATATTTAAATCAGTTACACTAATGAATAAGAAAAAATCCCTACAAACATAATGTTCCTACAGTACATAGTTGTCACATCTCATTGTGGCTTTAAAGTATAACTATAGGAAAATTGTTTTCTTAGTTTTGGATGTAGTGGAGAGGAATTAGAACACCTGACATTTTATATTGCTGTCTGTGCCCTTGTTAGGGAGATTCACCCTCTCTATCTGTTCTGTTTTCCATTAGTAAAAAGTGAAAGTAAAAGAAATCCCAAATTTTGGGTTGTCCAAAGAAAAGTAATAGTGGAGAAATCTTCCAATTAGGACACTAGTTCTGGAGATCTAGGGGTCCCCAAGGAATTGCCTTAATTCGCAGGGATTTTAGCTATGGGACAGGAAGTGAAGGTAAATCTTCCCAATGGGACACAGATGGTATAAAATAAAATGAGAGGGGTTATTACCAAAATGAAGAAATAAGTTTTGCCTATAGTTCTACTTTAAGAAATTATAAATAGAATGCTAGAATAAGCTTCCCACAAATCTTGTCAGCCAAGCAGTAGAAGCAGCATAAAATTCAGTATGGCAGCATATTCATAAAGAGTGATACACATGACCCATGATTTTTAAGCAATGTCATCAAGTTGAGCATTGCTTGACATAAATGGGCTCTGTATGGTCTATCTCTTGTGTATGAGCAAGCAATTCTGGGAAATCTTTTACAAATTCTGTTTGAAAAAGAATAGGGTCCTTCTTGAACTATTTTACTATATAGAAGGTGTGGAAACCTAACAGATACAAGAAGTAAGAGGGACAGCAGTGGCTTAAGGTGATGCAAGGTGGTTACTCAGAACTAAGGCTAGGGAAGGGGGCAGGCATAAAAAGAAGACAGTTGGGCAATTGTGAAGAGCTAGCTTGTGATGGTCATTTTAAGGGTTTTACAAATTATTTTAGAGGCCTATTTTACAGACTGAAGAGGAGAACTCTAGAGGAGAAGATGCTCTGCTTCCTCCTCAAGCACAAGTCCAGAGACATAACTAGAACCTTCATGAAGGGCCCTTCTGACCCCCAGCTGGGGCCCTTCCCTCAGCGCCCAGAGCCCTTTACTCCCGTTGCGGGGTCAATTTATTACAGTTCCGCAGCGGGACCCTTTCACGTGTTCTGCAGTGCGTTCACTTCCGAGGCCCTCCTACAGTGGCAGAACACCAGGGCCCGATCGCAAGTGTGACATTTGCAACCCTGGTATTTCTTCCACCGGTGACAGTAGTGTTTTATTTTTGATATTTTTTTTTCATTATTTCTTACCATTTTATTTATTTATTTACTTATTTATTTTTACAATTTTATTTTTTTTACAATTTTTTTAGGAATCCTGTTGGGGGGGCTTTGGTTAGATATAAGGGGTCTAAATAGACCTCTGATGTTTCACCTTTGAGACAGAGAAAGGAGAGTGAGGACACAGTCCTTATATTCTATCTCTGAAGCCTTAGCTGCACAGAATGAATTTACAGGAATAGCTTTGCACAGGGCTTCCCATCCATTCACAAACTGAAACATAGTAAACACAGTTTTTTATGCTTCAGTTATGAATGAACAGAGTCAGGCGCGGACTGACAACTCATGGGGCCCCCGGGCAATAGGGGATCATGGGGCCCCTGTGTCCTTGCCCAAACTCAAAAAAGCCTATGAAAAAGGTACCAGGGGCATCTCATGGGGCCCCCTACTGACCCCAGGCCCTCGGGCAGTGCCTGAGTTTCCAAATGGTCAGTCCGCCCCTGAACAAAGTCAGTGATCAATAATGGAGGGCATCAGTTCCTCCATATGCCGCCCCCGCTGCCCCTCCTATCCAAGTGTACAGGGGAGCCACACAGGCCCCTGCAGCATGGGGCCAGGATGCAACTGCGACCCCTGTAACCCCTGAAGGTATGTCCCTGGTGTGTATTCCTCCTGAGATGAGGAGTTCTGCTAAGCAGCTTTGTGAACTTTCCTCAGCCTCCCCTCTTTGTAGGGTTGTGGGTGCCATCTGGGGCTGAGCAGGATCAAATCTTGGCTATTTAGCTGACTTTTTCTGCTTGATGTTTGGTGGCAGAGACTTGGGGTTTTCTGTTTTCATGTGGGCTGCTTTCTCATCCATTCTGTCATAGCTTATTGCCACTGTTTATCCTTATGGTTCTCCCAAGTGACAGCTCAGTGAAGTGTGACCATTCTTATTACTACAAGCTTGATTTCAACTTTCAACTCAAGTGATGCAACTTGTTGTAAAGACATATTTCAGATAACTGCTGAGTTATTTTGTTTTGAATAATATAATAACTCTTCTTCTGTGGTAACTCTCCTTTTTACACTTTTTTCATTGCAGGTAAACAATGGATTCAAAGCAGAAGTAATGTGCTGTCATTGAGTTTTTGACGAAGGAGGGTTGCAAGCTCTCTAACATTTACATAAGGATACAGAATTTTTTCAGAGATGACACCACAGACAAGTGGCCCCAATTACAAGCTTCCAGGGTATGTAAACTTTTGATCATGGCCATTTGGGTGATTTCTGTTATCATTAGGATTTAAAAAGGAGCCAAACAACTATTTGTTAATAAATGGCTTCATATGATCATCATCCTTCAATAAAAGAGCATTTTGTGGCATGATCAGTCATATTTTCAATATCGATGCCAAAATTGCACAATTTTTTCCAGGGTATGCAAACTTTTGAGCACAATTGTATATAAGAGGACTAAAGGGTGGTGTATTTTATATTTTTTTTTTTGCCTGGATATGCCCTTTCATTTTGAACTATCCAACGACCTGTTTGGCAGGAGTAAACACGGTATCCTTTTATTCTCTAGCATGATACTTGTGCAAAGTACGCAAATGTTTGATGGCCAATCATTAACTTACTGTACAAATGAACAAAAATCACAACCGCACAGAAGAACATGTACGAACCAGCTATATAAAGGCCATGACACTAAATCGTACATACATCAATCACTATAACAAAATGAAAGGAACATAATTACTTCTAATTATTTCATACTGTATTAACCGACCTATAGCAGAAATACTGCTATAGGGCGGCACGGGTGCGCAAAATCACGTATATATACGTAATTTTGCATTTCCGGGTAGGAGGCGTGCATGCGCCCCTACCCACGCCGCAATTTGCGGCCACGCTGTCAATCACTGGGTCCCGGCCGGGTCCCGGTGATTGCCGAGCATCTCCCACGGGGAGGAGAACTGTTTGTAAACAACACAGTTCTCCTCCCTGTCAGCTCGTGCACACTGTTTTGGGTGACTGTGCTCCGCACAGCCATGCAAAGAGGTGTGCTTACAGTGCAGCACATGGACACAGTACATAGTAAAACAGCACACAGTTAACCCTTTGATGTTAACCCCTTCCTGCACAGTGCCATTAGTACAGTGTCAGTGCTTTTTTCTTAGTACTGATCACTGTATTGGTCAGTTTTCCCCCCAGTGTTAAAATGTCCACCGCAGTCCCGTTATAAGTTGCTAATTGCCGCCATTACTAGTAGAAAAAGTAAAAAATCCCAGTATCTATGCCGCCATTTGTAAATGCTATAACTTTTGTGTAAACCAACACGTATTGGGATTTTTTTTTTTAGCAAAGACAATGAGCAGAATACATTTTGGCCTAAATTTATGATGAAATTAGATTTTTTTAATTTTTTTTCCAGGACATGTTTAATAGCAAAAAGTCGAAAATATTGTTTTTTTCTCAAAATTGACGGTCTTTATTTTATAGCACAAAAAAATAAAAAACACACAGGTGATCAAATACCACCGAAAGAAAGCTCAATTTGTGGGGAAAAAAGGACGTAGATTTTTTTTCAGCACTGATCACTGTATTGGTGTCACTGGGGATGTCAGTGACACCAAGTCAGTTCCCCCCAGTGTCAGAATGCCCACCGCAGTCCCGCTATAAGTCGCTGATCGCCATTACTAGTAAAAATTTTAAAAAATCCTAGTATATATACCGCCATTTGAAACACTATGACTTTCATGTAAACCAATTAATTCACACGTATTGGGATTTTTTTTGTAGCAAAGACATGTAGCAGAATACACTTTGGCCTAAATTTATGATGAAATTTGATTTTTTAAATTTGTTTTTACTGGACATGTTTAATAGCAAAAAGTCAAAAATATACCGTATTTTTCGCTCCATAAGACGCACTTTTTTCCCCCCAAAAAAGGGGGGAAAATGTCAGTGCGTCTTATGGAGCGGCCGGTCCGGTATTTCCACCACCGCCGTGTCAGAATACCGGGCCGGCCGCTCAGCTCTGCAGCGGGACTTTACCTGTTCCTCTATCCAGCCGCGCGCTGTCTTCCCGGCTTCTGTAGTGTCGGCGCTCGGCTTGACAGCCGGGTGCCCAGTGCGCATGCGCAAGAAGCGGTGCGGTTTGTGAATGGTAAGGCGGCACCTGGGACACATGACAGGTCCCAGAAGCCGCCGGACCAATCACAAAGCGCAGCGCTTCTCGCTCATACACACTGGGCACCCGGCTGTCAAGCCGAGCGCCGACACTACAGAAGCCGGGAAGACAGCACGCGGCTGGATAGAGGAACAGGTAAGGTCCCGCTGCAGAGCGGACACTAATTAAAGAACAACTCCACGGAAGTAAGAGCGGGTACCTGTCAAATTCAGGTACCCGCTCCCCCCCCTCCCCAAAGGTCAGCAGTCATCTTCTGTACTGTCCACAGTCTCTGGTCATCACCTGTACTATGTCCACAGACTCTGGTCATCTCCTGTACTGTGTCCGCAGTCTCTGGTCATCTCCTGTACTGTGTCCGCAGTCTCTGGTCAACTGTGTCCGCAGTCTCTGTAACTGTACTATGTCCGCAATCTCTGGTCATCTCCTGTACTATGTCCGCAGTCTCTGGTCATCTCCTGTACTGTGTCCGCAGTCTCTGGTCACTCCTGTACTGTGTCCGCAGTCTCTGGTCATCTCCTGTACTGTGTCCGCAGTCTCTGGTCATCTCCTGTACTGTGTCCGCAGTCTCTGGTCATCCCCTGTACTGTGGTCTCTGGTCATCTCCTGTACTGTGTCCGCAGTCTCTGGTCATCTCCTGTACTCTGTCCGCAGTCTCTGGTCATCCCCTGTACTGTGTCCGCAGTCTCTGGTCATCCCCTGTACTGTGTCCGCAGTCTCTGGTCATCCCCTGTACTGTGTCCGCAGTCTCTGGACATCTCTTGTACTGTGTCCACAGTCTCTGGTCATCTCCTGTACTATGTCCACAGTCTCTGGTCATCTCCTGTACTATGTCCGCAGTCTCTGGTCATCTCCTGTACTGTGTCCGCAGTCTCTGGTCATCTCCTGTACTGTGTCCGCAGTCTCTGGTCATCTCCTGTACTGTGTCCGCAGTCTCTGGTCATCTCCTGTATAATGTCTGTCGTCCATTGGTTCAGAATATTTTTTTTCCTGTTCTCTGCCTCTAAAACCTAGGTGCGTCTTATGGTCAGGTGCGTCTTATGGAGCGAAAAATACAGGTAGTTTTTTCCTCAAAACTAACGGTCTTTTTTTATAGTGCAAAAAATAAAAAACAGACAGGCAATCAAATACCACCGAAAGAAAGCTCAATTCATGGGAAAAAAGGACGTAATTTTCATTTGGGTGCAGCGTTGCATGCTCGCGCAGTTGTCAGTTAAAGTAACACAGTGCCGTAACACAAAAAATGGCCTGGTCAGGAAGGGGGGAAAATCCTCTGGAGGGCAAGTGGTTAAACATCCTAAAGTAATGTCAACAATGAGAGTCAGCCATTGTCATTGAAACAATCCCACCTTAGAAATGTTAATCTCCTTTATTACAGAGTGGATGTTGTCTTTTTTTCCTTTTGCCAAAAATGCTTTTCCAAATGCTCCTTCTCCAATCATTCGCATGATGTCATAGTTATCCATTTTTTCTTCCTGCTAGGTCACACCTAATGGGATTGACATAACAGATATTTATCAAATATTTTGCAAAACAACTATTTTGCAGATGACCAAACAAAATGCAATATATGTACATTTGTATAATTTGCATCCATCATAATTGAACATTATATATTTTGACTTACGGAACATTTTTACAGTACATGAAGGAAAAAAAAGATTTTAAAAAAGCTGTTAGGAGCATTTTATCAGCGTTTAGGAGTGTTCAGGATAACACGATTAGCTTCTAGGAGTTTAAGAAAACGCCAGTGTGCATGAAGCCTTATGCAGGCCATAGACGGGTCGAACTTCGGCAGATTTTTCGAACGATAAACAAAAAATAGGTCGTTCGTTAAGCCGACATTACCACCACCGATTCCAAAAATCGGTCAACTAAATCATAAAGTTCACCCCTTATAACAGCGAAACTTTTGTTCCTTGCAGGTCACGGCTCATGCGCAAATTTTTTGTCGTTAAAACTATCGTCCGATTTGGCCATCATTGCCGGGAAAATCATCCGTTTTCCGCAAATTTTCCAACATGACCGATAATCTCAAAGTGGAAAAAAACCCAAAACCGGACAACCAATTAACCCACTAATAGTGCGAAAATCGGCCGATTTTTCTTTCAGCCAATTTTCCTTTCGGCCGATTTTCGAACCATCTATGGCCGGCATTATACTGCAAGCTGTACTGATCACCAATCCAGACAATTGCAAACAATGCAGCAGGTCTCATCTACAGGGATACTAGTTGGAGGTTTAGAAAGGTTTACAATGAATTAGAAAACTCCTTTCTTCCTATGCTGAAAGAAATCTATACTAAGCACATTGGCATTTACTTAGCATAATGGCAATATTAAATCTAGTTAGTTTGGGTTAAACAAACAAACAGTCTGCCCAAAACCAAAATTTCAGTGGTGGGAACATTTTTACATTTTTGCAGTCTTGCACCCCCCCCCCCCCCCCACAAGGAAGTAAAACTACACAGAAATACAAAATCCTTTAAAACATGCACATTTGCCCTAAGGGAGAGAGTGGAGGGGGCAGTGCTGCTGGAATGGGCTGTCTGGGGAAAACAATAGCGACTGGCCAGGAAATGATTCAAGTGTTATTGGGAGGCCTACAGGCATACTAATGTTCCTGGCTATAAAGGGTCAGATCAGGGGGGCAGTTGAAATTGTCTTTAGGTGCCTAAAAGCTTCCATTGCTGACCTCTGGTTCTGAAAACGCTAGTTGCCTGTCTCCCATGCCAATTCTTTTATTCGTTTACGTAAAACCTTTATCCCAAAATGAAAAGAAAAAACTGCTGTAACTGCTTTTCGTGTGAGCTGGAGTTTGATTTCAATTTGTAAGTGTAGCTAAATCTGCTACTACATATAGCACTCCCCACCCACACTGACAATGCTGCTGTCCAAAGGTGTCTCTGTTGCTCCTCCATCCAGAGTGGGAGCACTCTAATACAGGAGGTGTGTTACTGGCCAGATCACCAGGTGAACAAAGAGGGGGAAAGACTAATAAAAGAAAATGAATGCAGCCATCACATCTAATGACTGGTAATCTGCAATATTCTAAATTTTTAGTTTGGGGTTTAGCACAGCTTTAATTGTGGTGTGGGGGCATTAGGACGGGAGGGTACCTTTATCCAAGTCTGGTTTCAAAATACCTGTGGCAAGCAGATGTTTCCCAGCCAAAAAAATACATCAAGCTCGTAATAGAATTTCAACAATTGATGGATACAATTAAAGGAGAAGTGTGGGAAATAAAGAAATAAACATACATACTCACCTACAGTATATGACTGCAGCATCCGTCTGATGCTGCAGCTGTCCGCTGTTGGCTCTAAGCCTGAGAACTGAGTGATCACATGACTGATCGCTCAGTTCTTGCTCCACAATGAGCAGAGAGCAGTGACTCAGTCACTGCCAGGGGTGGACTGACCATTCAGGCATTGCCCAGGGGCCCGGTGTCAGTAGGGGGCCCGGTGAGAGGCTCACTGGGCACAATTCACTAAGTGGTATCTTACCGCATCCGAGTATGTGGTAGGATACCGCATAGCATTTAAAAAAAAAAGTTTGAATTCACCAAAAAACACTACTAAATTACCGCATGAGTTATTTTATCAAGTTATGCAGTATTTTAGTAGTGAAAAATGTTTCAGCTGTCAGCGGGGTTCCTGGCTGACAGCTGAATGTAAAAGAAAGAATTGCCGGCAATTAAAAAAAAATAATTTAAAAAACTTTGTGGGGTCCCCCCCTCCATCCATACCAAGCCCTTCGGGTCTGGTATGGATTTTGAGGGGAATCCCCAACGCCAAGATTAAAAACAAAATGTCATGGGGGTCCCCCCAAAAGCCATACCAGACCCTTATCCAAGCATGCAGCCCGGCAGGTCAGGAAAGGGGGGGGGGGGGAGACGAGCGAGCACCCCCCCTCCTGAACCATACTAAGCTACATGCCCTCAATATGGGGGGAATGCTTTGGGGAGGAGGGGGCTCCCCTCCCCCAAAGCACTTTGTCCCCATGTTGATGGGGACAAAAGCCTCTTCCCCACAACCCTGGATGGTGGTTGTGGGGGTCTGCAGGTTGGGGCTTATCGGAATCTGGAAGCCCCCATTAGCAAGGGGGCCCCCAGATCCCTGCCCCCCTCCCCCATGTGAATGAATATGGGGTACATGGTACCGCTACTCATTCACAAAAAAAAAAGTGTAGTGTGAAAAAAGATAGGAGACAGTCTTTGATAAGTCCTTTATTAAAAGAAGGAAAATAAAAGAATGTCCCCCGAAGTAGATCCAAAGCCAATCACAATGCCCGCCGCCGCTACCCGAAAAAAAGTAAAAAAAGAAGAGAAAAAAAAAGGCTCCGCTCTCGACGCTGGCTTGTCAGTTCTTAAATATGTAAGGGGAGGGGCCACCAGGAGACATCACATGTGTGACACCACCCCTTGTGGTGTCATTAACCAGGGCATGCTGTGTCAATGATGTCACAAGGAGGTGGGGCCACACGTGTGATGTCACTGGGTGGCCCCTCCCCTTACATACTTAAGAACTGAGCAGGCAGACGGCCGGGAGGCAGCGTCGGGAGTGGTGCATTCTTTTTCTTTTTTCAGGTAATGGCGACGGCAAGCATCGTGATTGACGTTGAATCTAGTTCAGGGCACAGTCTTTTATTTTTCTTCTTTTAATAAAGGACTGTCTCCTGTCTTTTTTCACACTACTTTTTTTTGTGAATGGATAGTGGTTCCATGTACCATACTCATTCACATGGGGGAAGGGGGGATCTGGGGGCCCCCCTGCTAAAGGGGGCTTCCAGATTCCGATAAGCCCCCTGCCCGCAGACCCCCACAACCACCGACCAGGGTTGTGGGGAAGAGGCCCTTGTCCCCATCAACATCGGGACAAGGTGCTTTGGGGGGGGGGAACCCCCCAAAGCACCCTGCTATGTTGAAGGCATGTGGCCTGGTATGGTTCAGGAGGGGGGGAGCGCTCGCCTGTCCCCCACTTTCCTGACCTGCTGGGCTGCATGCTTGGATAAAGGTCTGGTATGGATCTTGGGGGGGGCCCACACCATTTTTCTTAATTTTGGTGTGGGGGGTTCCCCTCAAAACCCGTACTAGCCCCGAAGGGCTTGGTATGGATAAAGGGTGACCCCACGAGTTGTTTTTTATTATTTTTAATGCCCTTGATATGAAGCTGAGCAGCAATATGTAGGTGGGGCGTTGTATGGTTGTGGCTTTGGCTTTAGTGTAGGCGAAGACACAGGGGGCCCCATTATCTCTTATTGCCGGGGCCCCCATGAGTTGTCAGTCTGCCCCTGGTCACTGCTCTTTGCTCTGCCCCTCCAGTGCTCACTTGGGTGCAGAGCTGGAGATGAGAGGGAGTGGCTGACTCAGGCTCTCAGTGGCGTGCTGATGCATGCATATGAAGTCATATAGTACTATTAAAGTGATATGAAAGACAATTCAAAAAAAATAATAAAAATGTTATACTTACTGTACCTGCTCTGTGCAATGGTTTTGCACAAAGCAGTCCGATCCTCCTCTGGTCTCTCCCTCATAGTTCTCCCACAGCAAGCAGCTTGCTATGGGGGCACCCAAGCAGGCTTGCTCCCAAGATGCTGCTCTGCGTGTCCATTCACACACAGAGCTGCTACTTGCCCCTGTCCTCTCTCTCTCCACATTGGCTCACTGGCTGTGATTGACAGTAGTGGTAGCCAATGGCTTCCACTGATGTCTCAGCCAATGAGGAGGGAGAGTTCTCAGAGAACTGAGGCTCTCATGCACATTGCTGGATCACAATGGGGCTCAGGTAATTATTAGGGGCTGGGGGGGGGGGGGGGGAGTTGTACACAGGTTTTTTGTACCTTCATGCATAAAATGCATGAAGGTAAAAAGCCTTGAGCCTTTACAACCACTTTAATTTAACCCCTGTATACACTAACAATGATACACTAAAAACGTATCACACAATTGTGTTTCCAATACTCCCTCGTGTGACTGTGAATTATACAATCCATAATCATTACATTAATTTATAAGCATTAAAAATGTCCTAGAAATTCATATAAATGCATGTATTTCACTGCTGAGGCCTTAGGCTTCATTCACACGACCGTAAAAATGTTACTGATGTTATTACACGTGTGTTTTTTTAGGAAAAAAGTTCCTGTGTAATGATCAGTAAAATATTTGCGCATAGATGCATTTAAATGTGTAAAGACGCATGTATGTACATATTGATAATTTTGTGTTTTCCCCCTTTGTATAGACATAATATACACGCCCACAAATGCGTTTATATGCGTAAACACGTAAAGCACAAGTTCTTAGACGCAGATTTTTTAATTCTGTGTTATGGATCTGAATGCAGTATGCACCTATGTGAATGTCTTCACTGAAAACAACGCAGCTGCATTCAGATCCATAATTACAACAAACACTTGTATGTGCGTTTTTTTTACGGCCGCGTGAATGAAGACTTATAGTGCAT